TGACACAACATCTCCTGACTCTAACCACCGGAAAGATCATTCATTCACCACCTACCCAGATCTATGTACACAACACAGTTCAAGATGTACCACAAATGCCATTATTCATTTCACACATAGAATTTCGGAGCCATGCATTATATGTTGCTGCCAATCTGGTTTGATGAAATTGCATAATAGGTGAGCTGATCTCTTAACTGGATTCCATAGGCCAATTGGCAGACCAACGCTGTGCTATAAAGATGTCTGTGAGCATGACATGAAGTCTGGCAACATGAATCCCGCTCTATGGGAATCCCTTGCAGATGACCGCAGTGCCTGGAGGCAGGCAGTCAAGTCATGTATCCATAGCATAGGAGAAATGATCTCTGGGAGGATCACAGAGAGAAGAAACACCATGGTGCATCTGCAACAGAACAACCGGATGTCACCATCTGCCCCAGCTGCAACAGAGCATGTCTCTCCCGCATCAGTCTCTACAGCCACAGTAAGTGTTGCAACCTGCCAACAGTTTGATCTCACCAGTAAAGGAACCCTCGTCCATTGTGTCCCAAGACAGACGGGTGCCAACTACAGGTGTGTTTCATTTTTGTTTTCAACACCAGACTCTTTTTTGTGTGTGTGCTGCACCAAGACAAAGTCCTCTTGTCTGGCACTGCTGCAAATGTCTGCACCTGCAGTTAAGCTTATCCACTATAGAGCTAAGAACAAATTACCATTTCATTTTGCCTAGCATGTTTTCTGTTCCAAATTGTCTAACTCTTATCAGTTTGGAAGCATAAGGATTCCAGTCATTCAACAGCTTGCTCATTCCTATGGAGCCATGCAAAAAGGTATTAGTGCTATACAGGAAACTTCTAAAGTTAGAGACCCAAGCTTCAATTGAGAAAGAACACATATCTAATCAAATTACTCCATGGGAACTGATGTAGAGCCCCATGGAGAGACATGCAATGTTCTTACTGCTGATGTTGCTGGAGGTGCTGCAGCTGTATTTCTAGGAAAACTCTGAGGCTGCAGTCTTGTGATAAGTTAGGCTGCTTACTTACCACCAAGGGTCAAACCAGATACAGTTGCTGGTCCTGGCACATATGCTAGATAGACTAGATTGGCCATGGCGGCCTGTTAAGTGTTTATTCAGTGAGGTGGCCCAAGGGCAATTGATATCATACAATAGGCAGTCATTGTTTTAAGACCACAGCCTTCAACTTAAGATCTCTGGATGTGATAAGCATAGGTATTGTTAACTACAAGCCATTCCTGTCAAAAACAGATCCATTTTGGTTAATGCATTCATCATAGTGTTCCCACCATGAAGGTTTCCCTGCTTAATAGATAGGTTGCTTATTTACCATGTTATTAGAATGATGAATGCTTCAATAATGTAACCAAGCATAATGCTCTAGCCTGCAAAGAACACTATTGTCATAGTTTAAATAAGGAAAAGTAAAATTAAGCCAAATAAGAATCTCTTAACTGAGCATCCAGCAGTGCATTAAGTGGTCTAGAGTACACTACAGCCTCACATCATTTTAACACTAGCTTGCAGTGGAAATCAATGATAGCAGACATGCATATGGTGTCTCAACAGAGTATCTGAATTACACAAAGACAGTACAGGCAGAATGTATTTTAATTCCTCTTTCCCCAAAAATGATCTGAAGGTTTTCTCTGAATGGTATGGAGGTGATTTAAAACAAACAAGTCATTCTACTGTCTTGAAACTGAAGATTTTCAATAGGAACACAATCTGTCGCAGCATTAAGCCTGATCTTAGGCATCTTAAATATCCAATAATTAATTCCAATATATTTCTTCAGAGCCCTTAAGAGTTCAGTAGTAACGTTTTGGTTTTTTTGCGAGAAAGAGATCTTGTCATTCCTGTTCAAGTGGCATATTAAATTCTGATGACAGAGATCTGTATAGTTGTAGGGTACATTCTTGTCTTGATGTACGGCGAAAATACACAAGCATATCAGCACACATCAAAGATGAATATATACCCCTAAACTACAGCTGACCGTGTTCAGTCCACTTTAGGGACTGTTTGGTCTTTTGAGGTAAAAATGTATTTTCTGTCTAATATGGCACATGTTTCATCTACACAATTACATCACAAAACAAAAGATGGCCTTAGCATGGTATTGTACTACACCGTACTTATAACAATTAAATCTTGCTCAAAGTAGGATGCGGTACTTAATTTTTTACTATGTTAACGATGACATTGTCTTAATATACAATCTATAATAAACTCTAAGCACACCAAATAGGTATGATTTGTTTTTATAAATCCTTGATTACATATACTTATCTACCAATGACACGTTATATGTAGAGAGTGGTAAAAATATATAGATATGTATTCAGACTTCAGTTTTGTAAGGTTTGGAAATGCATCAATCTGTTGCTGCTGAGTATTATGTGTGGAATGCTGAGCATTACTACAAATGATCCAGTCAAGGATTCAAGTTCTCAAATGGAGACTGGATAAGAGGCAGGTGCTTTCTTTGAGACCCACCTTATGCTCAGGACCCAAATGGGTCTCAAAACCCCAAACTTAGCATTAAAAGATTAAAAACCAGTTGTTTTATATGCCAAAGAAAGGTGCTTGGCTCCCTGTGTCTATACCTTCTTTCTTTCTTTCTTTCTTTCTTTCTTTCTTTCTTTCTTTCTTTCTTTCTTTCTCTCTCTCTCTCTCTCTCTCTCTCTCTCTCTCTCTCTCTCATATGGTTTCTAGTTTCCATCATGAATCTCAGCAATGTCTGTGAAATACAATCTGATTGACAGGTAACATCACACCAGTTACAATGATGTCTACAGGACCCTATATCTTCTCGTTTAAAGAAAAAATGTTTGAACAGAATAAAGCAGTCCATATGAAAGGTGTAATATGGCTTTGTATAAAAAGGATGAATGTTACTTAGGTCTGATTTCTTTCTTTTTTTTCTCAGGGTGCTTTTTGTTCTTTTACAGTGCATTCAACTGGCATATTTTAATAGCCACTCTTTTTTTTCCCTTTCCTGTACTACATCCCTACCATTACTTACAAATACAGAGAGAAGGAATAGACTCTATTTACAAACAGGTTGGCACTTAACAGAATATATTATTGATATTTGCTCCTTTTCATCTTCTTCCTTTCCACCCTGTTTCCCAGCCCAGGGCTCGCATGTTCCAGGCTGACTGGCAAAACCTGCTGCCTCATTATGTTATGCTACATTAACATGAAAAATAGGATTCCGGCTGGTACACATTCTCCTCCCAATGGTTTGCTTGTTGCCGAAAGGCAATACCTTCCACCCCAATTCATGTTCGATGCTCAGACATTGTTAGTCAAGAGAAAGCAAGGGCTGCATGTTTTCTTCTTCATTTTTATCCATGCGCTTTAACACTCCAGGGTCCACAACTGACTGAGACCTGTGGAAAAAAGTATTTTTTTTAAAGAAAAGCCTGATATTAAGACAAATGAAAGTAGACTTCACTTATTTATTTATTTTTTAAAAGCTAGCCAGTATCCAATAAATAGCTTGGGAAATATGGTGTGATACCTACAACCAGTGTATATTTAATATTTAAAGATGTACACCTCTCCTCCACACACTATATCAGGGGTGGGGAACCTATAGCCCTCCAAATGTTGTTGGAAATCAACGCTCATCAGACGCTGCTAGCATAGCCAATAATAATAAAATTGTCATTATTAAGTCACAAATGATGGCAGCTATAGTCCAACAACGCCTAAAGGGCTACAGCTTCTCCATACTTCCTCTAAAGAAAGCTGGAAAACTTTTCTCAGGACAGATTCAAAATGTATTTTTTTGAGGTTTGTCAGAATGCTACCCTGAGATACAAATTCTGTCTACGCTAACAGATAAATCACTTTCAATCATTATTTTACACTAACAAAGAATACATTTTTTTGGTCATCCATGTGTCATTCTCTTGATGAAACTGATCCACTCACCAAAGAGAACAACACTGAATTCTTTATATCAGGGATCACCAAGGTGGTGCCCTCCAGATGTGGACTACAACTTCCATCAGCCCCAGTTAGAATGGCCAATGGGTGAAGATGCTGGGACTTGGAGTCCAGCAACATTTGGAGAGCACTCTGTTGGGTACCTTCAAGTTTACATGATCACTTACTCCATAATAAAAACATATAGAAGTTAAGGGCTTCTGATCTTGCACAAATCAATGAACCTCTTTTAATTCACTTCAACAACCAATTTGCTCATTTTGGATACAGAAATAAGTCAGATGTTGAAATAATGTGAGAAATATTAGTTATACAAACGGAATTGAATTCATTGGTGGGTGCAAGCAGAAGGCATCTTGAGCAACCAACCTTTCTCTTCCTCTGCAGCCCCCTGTACCCACAAAGCCCCTCCAGCAGGTCAGTGGGCTCCTGTGTGGTCTGGGGCTGCACCAGGAGGGGACATCACCCAAAACTGGGCAAAAGTATCGTGTTCCAGGTGGGGCAAAAGCATCTCTACCAAATAGGCAGCAGTCTGCCGTCCAGCAGAGAAGAGCCAGTGTTCTGAGTAAGTAATTCCAAGCACAATTGAGCTAAATTCCCTTCCGGTCTTTTGTGTTTCAAAAGGCCTTATTCCTGAACACAGTGCACAGATGTCTATAGGGGCATGTGTCCTGAGCGAGGGCAGAGACATCAACTTAATTCATAGGATGGGAGCTACCTAGTAGAAGTGAAACTGCTATGGATCAAAGTGGACAAACCGCCCTGAGATCTTGTGATGAAGGACAGTATATAAATCCAATAAATAATAAAAATAAAAATAAAAATAAAATACTGACTGTAGAAATATCAGATTAAAAACCCCACACATATCTGAATTCAATGAATCTTACGAAAAAATAGGTTTACTAGCTATTACTGAAGTCAAGCAAGGATTTCCATGCATTTGTGCTAGCAGTAAGGTAAAAACGTCCTGTTACTGAGGAAAGGGGATTAGATTTCATACAAAGTCTTGCCAGCTGCAAGCTGCTGGCAGTGGAATATTTCCAACACACCATCTGGCTAATAATGCTCTGAAACTGGCATCACATGCTACCTAGAGGCCCTACTTGGCCTTTTCAAGAGGAGCATTAGCAGGCACCCAAAACAGTATTTACCCCAAAGCCATGGAGCAGAATGATTCTTGGCTGAAGCAATACATGCGCCAGCTTCTTGAGATTAACTTGACCACTAGCCGAGGTGCAACAGAAAAGCTTAATCTACTTGACTAATGAAACAAATTGTTTGTAGATCTCTGGTGGGTGGCTTGGAAATGCCCAAGGAGGATATTAAAAACATGAGTGGGTGGATGAGCTCAGGCTGTGGGCTTAGGAAGAAAGGATTCAAACAGATACTTTGGGATAGTGACACATGGCACCCCTTGCACTTGAACTTAAATGGACTGGCAACCAGCCTGCACTAATATTTCTGACAAAACAAAGGGAAACATGTCACCCTATTATCACTGAGCAAGGACAGTTTCCTTCAGCAAAGCTGGTCAACTAGCAGAGAACAAAGCTTCAGAGTTCATGCAGCTACATTCCATTAACATTTTTTTCATCCGAAAGAAACTGCAGTCACTGGAAATGCAATGCTGTTTTTTCTCTAAAGTCCTTCCTTCAAATGTAATTTAATATTTGTTACTGATGTTGTAGAATTGGATGGCTTCAGATCTCAGCATAATAATGTAGTCACATATGTAGTTCCTAACAATACTGTCTAACCTGTTATTGACAGGTTATTTCTCTGGCACCTAAATTTCTGAACTCCGTAGCACACAGCGTGGCTTGCACAGGTGTATGAGCAATGTCTGACAAGTTGGGCATATCTCGTTGGACTTGCTTTGCTGGATTCGTGTTTCAGTTCCATAGCTTTTGTTCTTCCAGCATAATGCCTGAAGGGGGAATTCACTTGGTTCCCCCATGATAATATCTGATATCTGTGTCCCAATGGGTTGTTCTCCACATCTGGAATCACAAAACACTCCACGGGGCTGGTATGAAAGTGCCATGACTTGCAATAACTTCACACCATCCCGCCTGCTTCCTTAGATCAGAAGGAGAGGCCGCCCTCTGTGTCCTGCTAAGTGTGGAAGCACAGCTGTGTGGGACAAAAGAGGAATTCCATAGTGGTGAGCAGCTGGAGCATGAAACGTGGATGGAGAGAATTCTGACTGGCTGTTAGACTACCAGGTAGTACGAGCAAAGGGAAGTGGGGAAGGGAACTAATTCCATCCACCCACCCAGTTCACTGGCAGCTCTAGCAGCCTGGACACTGATGAGCTGTGGCTACTGGGAAGAGAGATGAGGTGTGTCTGCTGCCAATTACTGGACAGCCCACCTATAGATCTGTAATAGGATATCACTGCTTTTGTTTGTTGCTGGGATTGAGATTGCTTGTGAGGGGGCTTATCCCAATCTCTTGCTGAGAGCTTGACTTCAGGGAACAGTAGAGGGGCTGCTGCCCACAAACACACCCCTTTGTGATCAGTGTGTAGGAGACAAGGTGTTTGCTGCAGTATGGTTCTGTTTGTAGGTACCAGTATTTCTATTGAATCAATGTCCTCTTGTTTGCTGGGATTTGTATTTCAATCAGTAGAGTAAATGATTATTGAGGCAGTATGTGCAGAGGGGTGAGGGTGAATGTTTAGCCTGTGTTTTAGCTGCTGTTTTATAATTGTTTTCTAATTACCTATGATCACGTGATTGTTGATTTGTTAATGGTGTTATATGCCTTGGTGGGGTCAGCTCTAAATTGCCCAGACATTGTAATTGTAGCCTATAGCTGTGGCTGTTCTTTATTGTTGGTAAGCCACGTCGGGACTCCTAATGAATGGAAGGTTGCATAGAAATACATAGTCAATCAAATCAATGAAGTGCGTTTGGTCCCTGTCCATCACTACTTTCTGTTCTGGCAGGCTTTTATTATATGAGGCAGACAATATTTTTACGATCTTTTTAAACTGCTGACCCTCTCTCTTTGTATTTTACATCATTAATGAAAATGTAATGTTCTATGTTGCAAGCTGCCTTGAGTGGAGTTTTCTTTTTCCACTTCAAAATGCATTAATACAAAACAACGAATGTTACTGCATCAATATGCATTGCAGTTTAATGGAATGGCTAAATTACATAGGGGAAGCACCACAGCTCATGCTTTGCATGCCAAAAATCTCAGATAAAATTCCTGATATCTCCAAGTAGATAAAGAATACTGCTTGAAAACCTGCTGCCAGACAGCTTCAAAAGTAATGAGCTAAATGGACCAACACTATGACTGAGTCATGGCAGCTTCCTATGTTCCTAGGAAATCATATGCTACTGACTTGGCCCTCAGCAGAAGTCATTCAGTCTAGAAAATCAACTACATGAGAGATAGCTACTGACATGCCCTTTAGAACTTTGTGGACTCCCATCAGCCCTATCCAAGCATCGTCAATGGTCAGGAATTGTAATCCACCCAAAAATCTGGATGGTATCATTTTGTCTACACCCTTCTTTTCTGCTTCAACAGGCCAGACTAACTTACCGCTTCATGGATTTGGGAGACAGGTCCTTTTCGACTTCTTTTGCAGAAGTGTTGTATGAGTCCACACTGTATTCGCTGTCGTCGTCGTATTCGTGATCAAGCAGCGTTCTTGCCCAAGTGCCCATATCGTAAGGCGGCAGCATTCCACCAAATTCAGAAGGCAGAATCTCAGGGTGGATTAGCTGGTGCAGGCTGTTGAGGTTATTTCCATGGAGAAATATCTGTTAAAAGGATGAATCAAAGACATTACAAGCTAGCACCTTCAGCGGATATCAGTCCTTCCTGACACAAGGCAAATCCATGCAGGGTTTTCAAAAAGCAGCTATGTTGGGGATGTCTGATGTTCAACGAGGAAAAGTAAAAAAAAAAATCCCACTAGTGCACGCATCTCATTCTATGGATCCTAGCTAATAAATGTATGTGTGTAATGTGTATGTATATAAGTTCTGCTAAACTCTAAGGAATGTTGCATTTTGGGACCACTTAAAGGTTTCTAATTTATTAGAAATCATGCGTACTGGATTGTACCCAGTGCGATTAGAAGTTCACATACCCAATGTAGTCTCTTGTGCCCACTGAAAAGCTTATCCAAGGGCAGGCATTCTCAAGTATGGTCTGAGGTGTCGGGCAGGAGGGTACAAAAGGGAAGGAGGATTGCCAAAATTAGGTTGAAGTAGCTAGTGTAAGCAAATGGTTGCAAAAATACTTCTTGGTACAAGTGGACTTCCATTCACACAGCACTGGATACAAACCCGCTGGGCAGAATTTTAAAATTCGGACCACTTCCAGTGCATCTCATGCTGGAATAAGTTTCATGCAGCTGACAATTTGTGGCAGAAGCTGAAGGGAGAATGCAAATATATCCAGCAAGATGGCTTTTCTGTGTGTGTGTGTGTGTGTGTGTGTGTGTGTGTGTGTGTGTTTATATTAAAAGAATAGGCAATCAAAGGTTCATAAGTGCCCCCAAATATCCCCAAGCATATTTTCCAGACTAAAAAATAAAAAAATCTGACATATGACCGAGAAACACTACAGTGTTTTTGGAGAGAAAAACCCAGAATGAATTGGATAACACAGCATCTCTGCTTCTCAGAAATCTAAGATAAACCACAGCACCCCACCAGGGTCTTTTTAAATATCCTACTGAGTGGGATCTGTGATGTGTGTCATGGAATTTATTTTTTCTTCCTTCATCAAATTCCACTTGCTCTGACTACAGCAGGACACCGCATTTTGCTTCTAGATAGTAACTGCCATCTAGCTAGCCTTTGCATGTACCCTCAAGAGCTCCAGCCTGTACAGCGGAACTTTCTTTTCTTTCCCTTCAAAGAATAGTGCTACTTAGCATGTCATTTCAAGCTGCTTTTGAATTTCCTATGGATTTCAAAGGCAGCATATGAATGTGGTGCAAGAGTTGTTCTTGGGGAAAGGATGAAAAAAAGCCCTAACACATACAATATGAGTGGGTTTTCCTGCTGGTGTACTTTCCTGGAGTTTGATTAGTGTCCACATCAAACAAATTGGTACACTGGACTGATGAAAATGGGCAATGAAAACACAGAGTGCTGCAGTAATCAATGTCCCAGAGTCCAACCACCATTTCTCTTTCAAACCAGCAGGTCAGATTTCCATTTATGACTCTTGTGAAAATGTGCATCACCATATGTTAAAACACAGGTGTCATATTTTTGTCTAATGTTAAGTTAACATGAGCCATTCATGACTTTATAACATTGACTAGTCAACATAGTATTCTGTACCAGCTGATACTTCTGAATATCATCTGCAGAGATGATATTCAGAAGTATCAGCTGGTACAAAATACTATAGTCCAGTTATTGATGGGGTGCTTCCTGGGAGTATTTTACTCCAATGCTTCACATTTTGGCTACTTATAGCATTATGCAGCTGCACCCAACATAACCAAGATTTGTGAAAATGTACCTCCCCATAAATTAAAACACAGGCAATTTAATTATGTCCCATTTCATGACAGCTTCTTTATTAACTTACACACAGCATTTTTAAACTATGCTTAATGCATTAGGTTCAGAACATTTTAAAGCACTGTAAAACTTATAAAATCGGGGCTAGCTTTGATTGATCAAGGAACAGTGTTTGAAGGTGAATTTATTTAGTCTCTGTTATCATCTGGATGCTAAAGTCTATTAGTATCAATGTTTCATCTCTTACATAAAATATATTTACAATTGTTCTTACTCTTTAAAAAATATGATTACTGAATTACGATTTTGCAAAGCTTCCTAATATCTTGGAAGTTAAAACTCTTAAGAGAACAACAGAAGCCATTCCCCATTGGCACATTGCATGATGAAACAAACATAGTTTTAGAATGAGTGAATGTGTTTCATAAGGAATTTATTTCAATACGAGGGGCACTGCCTCTACTGCTTGTGTTGCTTGCCAATCAAAGTGATCAATCTAGAAACAAAGAACAATTTTGCAAAACCATGCAAACAAACAAGAGAAAAATACCCTTTTCCTTGTCTTTTCCTTCAAAAATGGCCGTATAACTGTATAGAGGGCATGGATGTACCATGGTTGATTTACAAAATGAATTCCTCCGAAGCGAGCTGGAAAACTGTCCTAGGATATAATATATATAAAAGATGGTTAGTGGACTCATCGCAAAGTGTACCCTCACACAACCTTGTACAGTAGGTTTGGCTGAGATTACGGCTAGTGCAATCATGCTTGAATGCGAATCTGAATCCAGACCTTTTCACTCCAAATCCAATATTCTATTGGCAATTATCACACCTAAGTCATTTAATGCGAAGCATTTGAATTCTTTATCCTAAAATGTAGCCACGTTATTTTAAACATAAAAGGCAAAGAACAAAAGTAAGGTGATATTTAAAGAATGGAATTCCAATTTTTCATTTCAGGATAGCAATAACCAAGATGCCCAATTTCCTGTCAGTAACTCTTTCTCAATCTTTCAGATAAAGAGATGGCAATTTTGCCTGCTAGGTAGCAGTTCAAATATGTTCATTCTAGATACAAGATTTGCCATCTAAAGTTGTTTTCCCCATCCATGTACCCAAATTCACTTTCGTTTATCTTTTATGAATGAACACTATTCTTGTTTTATATATGTTGTTAGCTGCCTTGTGAGTCTTTGATTGGGGAGGGGGAACCTATAAATGTTTCAATAAATTAACACAGTAGTTTGTCCCATTCCTCGGTCTAACAATTATATATTTGCTTTCCTACGTTATAGATTATTAAAAGAGATGAGGGATTTACAGGTAAATACTTACTCAGTACTCACAATACATCATAAAGCTGAAACTACATTATGTATTCTTTAAATGTGACTGTAGAATATTTATGAACCTCTGTCTATGCTGCACACTCAGAGAGATTTTTCTATAAGAAATGTAGGGAGAAAGCTTCTCTACTGAACTGCTTTCTAAATTGGTTTTGGCTGTTTCTCTACAGGCGGCTATTAAAGAAACATGAAAGAATGGAAAATGTAACCGTGCAAACCAATTTTACAAGCAATACTTGACTCTGCTGCATTACTTGGCAGCTCACAGAATCTGTGTACAGAGAGGCAGGTTTCTAATGATTTTGTTAAAACCCTGGAATGTTGGGTTTTCATATTAAAATGCAAGTTCCAAGGCCTCATTGTTGCAAAAGAAAAAAGGAAATCTTGAAAACGTAACCTAGGTGAACCTTCCTATCTACATTCCAGTCCATCTATCCCTCTCACTTTTTTCCTCTCATGCCATGTATACACCTCTCCCTGTGCACACAATTATCCACTCTCTCTGTAGAATCATAGCCTCTGTCTACAACATCTTTCCAAGTTATCACTTAAAGCACATCCTTCTCTCAACATATTGTAGTTTTTGTATTAATTTTAAGCAGCAAGAGAAATGCTGCAATTTCGTAAGTTTCAGCAGAGCTTTGATGATCAAGAATATCCTTTCTGGCAGGTAATAAATTCAGTTATTTAAAGATTTATGCTTCAGTACAGGCACACACACCCCGACACATGTTTGACTTACGTGCAACAGCAAATACATGCAAAGCCAGGAAATAAGTAAATAAATAGGTTTAAACTGCAAAAAAGGCATGGAAAGGGCAAAAACAGCAAGAAAACAGCTAGCAATCCCAGGAACCTTTGCAAGTGCAATCCCACTTTGGGGTACTGGGTCTACCCCCTTTGTCGTTATTTTCACATCGTCCTCCAGTGATGAGGAAGGCTGAGAGACATCATTGCCACCATTCATGCCAGTCTGGTAAGTGCTGCTGGTTTTTAAAGGGTTTTTCAATAGTTTTCAGAAGTTTAGAGGGTGTTTACAGGCTTTTCAGATGGTGTTCCGCACTATACACAATTCTGCACGGTACCTGGGAACGTAACCCCCACATAAGTGGGGAGACACGCCTATATACTGCCCCTCAACCCAGTGTGCATTTCCATACATTACTGCTATGCCCAGCTCCTGGGATATGCTCTTAAACTTTATTTATTTATGTCACATTCTCCTAGCAAGACTGCAATCCTAAACTAATCAGCTGGGAGGAAGCTGCATTAAAATCAGTGGGTCTTATATCCAAGTGAAGATGTTTAGGCTACCACTATAATAACCACATCAGTGAGTGTAAAAAAAAAAAAAAGTGTCTGATTTATTTTTGCAACAACACAATGAGGTAGACCAGACTAAGAGGTAGTGTTGTTCCTGGCAAAGTGGGATTATTTTAAAAGCAAGATTTGTTGACCGTTTAATAAAAAAAGAATGCCTTGTGTACCTTAAGTAAAACACTGATAAGATCAACAGACTTCAAAAACAAGTAGACATAAAATTATCAAAATATAAATAAAATTAACAGAGTTTTAAACAAATATACATAAAGATCTATCATACGCAAATACACTAAAAACATGTATACATAGCTATCAAATACAGTATACATGAATATCTATTATATACAAATATACACTAAAAGATCTATTCCTTGCAGGTGCAGAGCAAACATTGTATTGTGTGTGTAAAAGACTGGAACCTTATTTACCATATCTGCATGCAATATTCTAGTTGTACTTCACTAGCTCTTAGGGAAATTATACAAGTCATTGTGCAAAGGAACAATGGATTTTTAAATGTCAATTTAATGTAATTGCTGAATATCCATGTACAACTATATAGCAGCAAGAGCTGATTAGGGAACAACGCATATAGCACTTGGAATTTTTAATGCTACGATATATTTGTACTACAGTCAGGTTAACATTTTGGTTGCTGACCGACTGTCAAGATTTATGAAGAGGCTGGATCATATTCATTCAAACTTAACAGCCAAGTCTCTTATCCAGTAGACATGTACCCTTTGTCACCTTCCTGCTTTCCAGTCAAGCCTGCACCTTGATTATTCTCAGATTAACAATTCAAGCAAAGATGTTTTCCCAACTCTGAGGGCCTCTCTCAGAAATCATCCCACTGACTTTTTCCTAAACTTCCTGCTAAGAGATTAACTGTTTCCCTTTTCAGCTCAACATCTTCTGATGATAATTTCATGATTCCATTATATATGGCCCTTCCTCACATGGGAGCCCTCATATATAAACCCTTCACCCATTTTCTAAATGTGAAGCAGGCACTTAAATGTGAAATTTTCCTTGATTCCTAGGAATGCCTTGCTTTTTTTATTTTCAGCAGAAGTTTAAAATGTGACTTTTATTATCTTCTTGAATCATCCACCTCTCTCTCTCTCCCCCCCCTCCCTACAGAACACCTGAGTTGCAGAATGCATGGTCAGCAAAACAGGAAAAGCTGTCTACCTGGTGAGAGTATAAAACAGCAGAATCAGCCGTTTGATGCAGTAAGGGTCATCAGTCTACAAGTGCTAATCTTCACATGTGGTTTTTCTTTTCCTTTCTCCTGAAAGCAATGTGGTACTTTGGATAAAACCCGGCGTACCTGTGTCTTTTGTTCCTATGGCAGCTTAATGGCTAGTTTATTGGATTTTCTGTTTTCTATCAATACTAAAAGCTGTGGATGCAAAATCTTCAACCACACTGCTGATGATGACAGTGTAGACTCCAGCAGTGTTCCTGATTTGTTTTCAACTCAGAGAAGGCTTGAGGAATCCACGATGATGACTCATGAAACTGACCAACAGATCAGTTCTCTGGAGTTACGTTCCTGTGCGCATTGCAGTTCCAAATCAGAAACTCTCATTCAGCTTCGTGAACTTTTAAATATGGGTCCACTAAATCCCCAAGCTAAAATGCCGTATAGTTCGTCACTGCATATTCCCAGGATGAGAGCACACTTCTCCCCCTGTTATTTTATGATATAAAGTTGATCTGTGGTTGACATGACCCTAGAATGACATAACATGCAGCTGATGCCTTCAGACTGGGGGGGGGGGGCATATCAATGAAAGAAATGGAAAAATCCAGAATCTAGGAGTTTAGTTGGAGGTGTCAGATCTGTTCCTGTTCTACAATCCCCTCAGGTGTACAGCTGTTGCTACACATTTCATTAGCTATGGATCACACATTTCATTACTGATGAATGAGGTTTTATAAGTTGGAAAGCTGATTCGTGTGTTTCATGATATTGATAGATCTGCAAGAAAAAACTGCTAATTTTTTTAACCTCACCTTTGTTCAAAATGAAGTCTTCTGAATAGACTAACTAGATTTATCCACACCTCCTGACGTTTCTGTGGGTATGCCTTTTCATGTGTCTCCTTTTATAAGAAAAAGCTCCTCAGCTCAAGGTTCACCAACATGATGGCCTCTGCATGTTTTGGGTGAGAACTCCCATCACTACAAGTTGGCAAAGGCTGGTAGCCTGAGGACCCAACCAAAGGAATGCCCCCCAAGCCCTGATAATTGAAGGGCTAAGCTTTCTGGGAATCATTTTAAAGTAAATACAACAGATGAGAAAAACGGTTCTGCTTAGAGGCAAGAGCAACATGAAGAAGTGGCAAGAAACCATATAAGAGGGGGCTACCCTTGGGAAAGCCCTTCAGAGCGAGCTAAGAGAACCCCCACAGAAGGAATCTACCAAAATCATTGTTCGCTGTGATACTCGCCAAGGAGGCAATTATGAATGGGCATAAAGGCCAGGATGACACTTGGCAGGAAGTAAGAGCAGCAAGAAGGAACCTCACTTGTTTACAGAGAGATAAATAGGAAGCACAAGTCTCTGCGGATTTTGCTCTCAGCAGTGAAAGCAGTATTGCCTGTGCAAGGAGGGGAACACCCAATAAACTCCAGGACAGAGTATGTAAGATAATATTGCAGGGGTTTGTGGGGTAGGGGTAGAACCTCTGGTGGGGTACATGCCATGCTCCTTCTGGGGTAGTTTGTCTGCCTTGGTCTCTACTCAGCTCTCATCTGTGGTCCCTAGAAGCTGTCAGCATGCAACAGTGGCTACACCCTGGGAAATGGCTTTGAGTGGCCAGCTAGACCAGGGTAGCTGATGGGTCTCAAACCATGGATAAGTTAGGAACTTCCCCTGCATGCAAAGCCAGGCTCCAGTAGATTGAGCGGACAACACCAATAGCTGCAAGGACTGGTCTCTAAGACCCCTCCCCCAGGTGCTTCCCCAGCAACCTGAGGC